TTGATCTTGGCCTCCAGCTGGATTTTGGTTTTGATCAGCTGGTCACACCTCTCCTCTGCATCAGCCAAGCTATCTGCTTCCTGAAAAGAGATAATAGACACTTTTAGATTTTGGTTCTCTGGACATTTTCAGATTTTATTAATATTTTGAAACCAAACAAGTGAATTGTGTTTTAAACCCTTAGGTTAATTTTTATAAGCTTTCCATCATCTGAGAGATATTTACTGGGCACTTATTATGGCACTGCAGATTTTTTTAAAAAGGAATTTAAGTCAGGGTTCTTGGTGAAATTATGATACACTTCTCTTTGCTAATGATGAGGTTCAGGACACACTGTCCCTAAATATGGCCCTCGGCATATTGTGTACCATAAACTGAAGGAGTTTGAGAAAATGGCTGAAGTAGGAAGCCCACTCTGACCTCCTCTACTCACCCTTCTTCCCTGAAACAGGTCATTAAACTCCCATGTGAAAAGTACCCTCCCTGTACTAGGAGGAAAGAAGACATTCTTATCACCAGAGATGGGAATTGGGAGCCAAGAAGGCTGCATAAATAAACCTTGTTAAAATAACCTTTATCTTCTTTAGTTACTCCTTCACCATTTACTACCCTTAGCTCAAACCCCTTTGTCTTACCAATTCTTTACAGATCTGTCATTTGTCTAAAAGATATACAAGCTTCCTGCTCTGCTTACTTCTTTGGGTCGTCAGTCTCTTGTAAAGGCTCCTGTGTACATGTAAAAACCAATAAATATGCATGCTTCTCTCCTGTTGATCAATTTTTAAATTTTCAGACCCAGCCAGGGACCTTATTAAGAGCGTCCAGGGAAACTTTTTCCTCCCCTGCTTGATGTCACCTACATTTAATGTGTTGGTATATAATTTCAGATCAGTCACCTTTCTTTATTTAATATTTATTTCCAGAAAAACTTAATGTATGAGAAACAAAATGGTCAGGTATCGAGCGGTTTGCTCAGAGGGAGGGGTAATACCAGAAAAGTGACTTAAAGGGAAGATGTCCTACAGAGTAACTGGGAATTACAGGGAACACATGGAAGAAATAAGGGGAGCTGAACATGTTCAAAGGTGGTGCATAGAGAAGTAGCGAGCACGTTTCTCATGAGAAGGAATAGGGGTTGGAATAGAAACTCTGTGGGAGCAGGGACTGTGTCTCCTGCTTCAGGTTGTATCCCTAGTGCTTGGAATGTCCTCATGTATTTATTAAATGTGGAGAGTTGAGGGAATGATGCTGAAAAGAGATCATACTATTCTTGAAGGAGAGGAGTATGCTCAGACCAAACTCAGATACACCCTACAGTTATTCACTGGTTCTCCAAGGTGTGATGAACCTCTCCTTAATTTGAAAAACCCTGTTGTACGTCAAGTACAGGGAAAGGCATAATGCCAACCTAGGTAGGAACAGACAGCTCATCTTTCTTTACATTTTCTAGTTGAGTGTCCCAAGCCTAAATACCCACTGGACCAATGTCTATTTGCTTCTGAATTCAGAGGACTACAGGGTCACTTTCAGGGTTCAGGTTGTTGGTCTCAGTAGCAAACTCTCTTGTCCTTTGAGTCACAAAAGTGGGTTAGACCGTGGTGTTTGATCAAATATTTCTTCCCAGTCTTCTGGATGTTTATTGGGATATCAGAACAAGAATATCAACCCCATCTCATGCTTTGCTTTTAAAAACTGACACTATCTGTAGAAAGTATTGCCATTATCCTTGCAATGACTATATTCTTTCAGGTACTAGACAGTTTCCAAAGACAGAGTAGAGAGGAGAGATGCCCGTTGGTTTCATATTGGTTTCAAGTTGATGCATTTCCATCACAACGTCTCCTCCCTCTCCACTGTGAATATTTTCTTTTTCTCACTGGTCTTATGTGCTCTTTTCAGTTGGGAGAATCTTATGGAGCAAAGATCACCTCACTTTTTGCCAACATTTTTCTAGGAGAAACAATAGGGGGAAAGGGGAAGTGCTTTCATTTTTTCCTTTTCAGCAGCAAGGGATCCTACCACAGTGCTTGGTAGTAATGTTGTGTCTGGGATTGTGTAGAACTTCTAAGGAGTTGTGAATTAGGAAACACTGATAGTCCCTTAGGGAGGTGGAATTTAGACCTTCTTCTAGCAACTGCTGAACTGAAATGTTAGCATCTGATTGCATGAAATGGGCTCTGATACTCACAGCTTGGACCTGGAGCTGCAGGTCATTTTTCTCTTGCATGAGAGCAACCATTTTCTCTTCCAGCTCTTTCCTTTTGGCCTCAGCCTTGGCAAGGTTTTCTTTGGTCTTCTCAAACTCTTCCTTCATGTTGGCCATCTCCTTTTCTGTCTCTGCGCTCTTGAGGAGTGGCTTGATCTTGAAATACAGCTTCATCCAGGGCCAGTGCTTGACGTTCATGAATGCACGGACGTTGTACTGGATGCAGAAGATGGACTCTCTGTGATAAGAGCAGAAGTGGTCAAAGTCAGGTTCCAACAGGAAGCAGAGTTAGAAGAGCTTAGGCCAAGGAGGTCTCAGTAGAGTATCTCTATTAATACCTTCTCTCCACCATCTTCTGGTACTCCACTCTTGCCAAGAACCCTCTGCACCTGGCCTGGGTTCTAGTAATCAGCTGGGCCAACTTGTCATCTCGCATCTCCTCTAGGAGCCCCAGAAGACCAGCTTTGAAAAAGACCTGTGCATGGGAAGAGTTGCAGATCAGACACTATCCATAAACTTCAAGGGGACACAGATAGCATCAGGTAGGCTTTAGAAACCATTACCTTGGTGTGACCAAATTTATACTGGGTGTGGTCAATGTCGATGGATGCAAGGAGCTTCTCAGAAGCCTTCTTGCTGTCAATGAACTGTCCTTCGGGGATAGCACTTGCATTTAATACCTTGTATCTGTTTAGGCCAAACAAATAAGTGATAGAGCTGTTGTCACCAACAAGACTTCTTCTTGCCTTACTATAGAAACGACGTAGACTTTGGGTAGTCTAGCAAACATAAACAAAAAATCATATCCATGTCTTTATTCTCTGTATATCAAAGGTTGTCAAACTTTTGGTTTGTCAATACAGAGTCTGTCAAATGTGTTTCTCTTTTTTTCAATTATAATAGAAAATATAAAGGATTTTTCCATCGAAAAAATTAAAATGAATAAAAGAACCTCAAAACAATTGGCAGTGAGGGAGTCTGACCTCTGTTTGAAGTCTGCATAAAGGATCCTGCTTGGGAACCCCTTCCTGCAGATGCGGATCCCTTCCAGCACACCATTACACCGCAGCTGGTGCAGGACAAGTTCATGCTCCATGGCCCCTGAGAGGAAGAATGCATGCCTTATATCATGGTCTAAAACAAACACCCTGGAGTTTGTTTAGATACCAGAAGTGTCTTACCTGGAGTCTTGGTTTCATTGGGGATGATACACCGTACAAAGTGGGGGTGAGTGCTCCTCAGGTTGGTCATCAGCTTATTCAGATTCTCCTGTGGAATTTATGACTATTTGGTTTTAAGAAGCACTGTTTTCATACATTCATATTTACAGACATAATCATCGTGACATCTGTGACATTGGCTCAGTTCTAATAGTATCTAATTATAGGATCCAACAGTATCTAACTGAGATACTATCTGAATAGTATCCAGATTTGAAAATGAGAAGTTATTTCTGGAATTTCCACATTCCCAAAACGTCCTTCTGTTCCTGTTTTTGTGCATTATAAACATGTTTTTCTATCAGTTGTTGAGGTGGTCACTGCTGCTGAATTTCCTAGTATGTGTTGTAGATTTAGTATGATATTCTAAATGTAGGGAAATATTCTACCTGGACTTTCAGGTCTAGATGTGTGATCTGGCTTTACAAATAATTCAGTGTCTTCTTCCAAATCTCTCTTTCTTTACCCGATTTTCAATTGTATCTGCTTCTCTATCACATTCCTATTCCTTATCCTAATTACAGAGCTGTGTCCTCCTACTCATTCCACAAAAAGTGGTCTTTTAGTGCCTCACTCTGGGAATTGGCAGAACACCAACAGCCATGTTACCAAGTGTGAGAAGAAGTGTTTCAACTTGTGGAAATCCTGGTTTTTCAGAATAACTAAACCTTCCATTATTACAGATAGGATTATCCTAAGAAAAGTACATTTTCCTTCAAGAGCTATTTCTTATCACATCTGGTTTTTTATTTCCTTTGTTTAGAATCAGCCTCCAATTCCCAACAGTGATCTTCTGTCTTTGGCTTTCAAAACCCACTCACTTCAGTTCTGAGCGAGTATACATCATTTGGAGGCTCCCACAGGCTCCAGCAAATCTCATGTTTTGCTTAGTCCTATCCCAGCAGAACCTTTTAAATGTCAAATGACCTTATTTCCTGGCCCCCAAATTTAATTTTATCATCTGATGCTGACTTCTGCAATTCACTCTCATCCCTCCTGACACCTTGTCTCCTATATACTGAGGTGTCTCTTCCAAACAACCCCAAGCTTTCTAAGACTCTGTTCAACTACCACCCACTGACCTGTCTCTTTGAGTCACATTCAGTTCTGGAGTCCTTACAAGATTACTTCCCTTCCTCCACAAATACAGTAAAATTTAAGTTCCTGAATCTAATAAGATGGAGCAAAGGAAGTTCGTACCCTGAAGAGAGCAGACACGGTCTGGAAAGAAGAACCCTTCTTCTTGCCACCTTTCTTGCCACCGCCAGCCTCTAAGGGGGGCAGACAGAGCACAAGCAATCATTGCACAGGCTTTCTCAGTGTATGTTTGATACATTAAATAAAGGATAACTTCTTTTGGAATTTACCTGCTTCAGCAGCTGCTGCCCCAGAGAAGAGGTAAGCCAGAGTCTTCATTGCAGACTTCTGGTACAGCCCGACCACGGTCTCATTCAGGGGGTCCTTGTTCTTGTCCAGCCAGCCGGCGATGTTGTAGTCCACAGTGCCGGCGTAGTGGACCAGAGAGAAGTGTGCCTCGGCCTTGCCTTTGGCAGGCTTGGGCTTCTGGAAGTTGGCCGACTTTCCAAGGTGCTGCTCATATAGCTTGTTCTTGAAGGAGGTGTCTGTGGCCTTGGGGAACATGCACTCCTCTTCCAGGATAGAGAAGATGCCCATGGGCTGAAAGGATGTAAAGAAACAAATGCCTTTCAATTTTGTCTGCTTGTAGAAATAATATGTGACATCTTGATCCTATTTCAGTAAATTCATCCTTTAATTTCTTACAATTAATGAAAACTCATCCCTTGGGTCAGAAGTTGTTAAATTAGCAAATATTTATTGAGGGCCTGTTGAGATCCAGGTGCTTTGTCACGCTCTGGGGTGGGTGGCTCCTGGAGTTTCTGTCTTGCCCCATGGCTCCACAGCCGTATTTCTCCAAGTGTGACTTGCAAACTGGTTGCATCAGAAACACTTGGTGAAAATGAAGATTCCAAGGTTCCATCCCACACTTCCTAAGAAGTTTTCCCAGGAGGAAGATTAGGGAATTCTTCAATTTTCTTAAGTACTTGTGGTGAGACTCAAACTGAAGTTTGAGATCCTCTGCTTTAAAGTACTAGAAATTCGTATTTCAGTTGCCAGTAAGAATGAATCTAAGGATGACAAAGGGATAATGAGTAAAAAATACTCTTTGTAGTACGCTCTTGTAAGGAAAGGGGGCTTTAAATATAAGGCCTTGTATTGCAAACTGTCGGGAAATGGAAAGTTCTGGACGCTAGAGAGAATATTCACTCTCCTTTTACCAGAATATCTCCCTCAGAGTTAGCAAAAGAAGGAGATTTCCTGATTTTATTTACGAGTAGAAGTCTCTTAAGATTTTTCTCAGTGGTATGATCTGTGACCTGAAAAAAGCAAGCGAACCTTCTCAATGAGCTCGATGCAGGCAGCCAGGTCCATCCCGAAGTCGATGAACTCCCACTCAATGCCCTCCTTCTTGTATTCCTCCTGCTCCAGCACGAACATGTGGTGGTTGAAGAACTGTTGCAGCTTCTCGTTGGTGAAGTTGATGCACAGCTGCTCCAGGCTGTTGAACTAGGTGTTGCAAATAGCAAGGAGTTTGAGTGAGTCTGGAAAACCCAGTGGGGATTCAGCAAAAGAGACACAAAGAGGAAGGGCCTTAAAAAGGCCACTTATTCAAACAACTCACATCAAAGATCTCAAAGCCGGCGATGTCCAAGACCCCAATGAAGTACTGTCTGGGCTGCTTGGTGTCCAGTTGCTGGTTGATGCGGGTGACCATCCACAGGAACATCTTCTCGTAGACGGCCTTGGCCAGAGCGCCCACTGCGTTGTACACCTTCGTGGACAGAGTAGTGATTGTTGATGCTACAGAAGACATGCTGTGAAGGCCTGGGATGGGTGTCATTCGTTGAGGTCATGCACTCACCTGCTGCACAGTCTGGCCTTTGGTGACGTACTCATTGCCGACCTTGACCCTGGGGTAGCAGAGGGCTTTGAGCAGGTCAGCAGAGTTCAGATTCTGGAGATAGGCCGCCTTGTCAGCAACTGCAGAGACATAATTCACGCACCTTGCATGACCTACTGTGGGCCCCACAATTCATCGGGGCAGAGTGATGAGTGAAACATTTTATAGAAAGTCTGTATGGGGGTGAATATGCGTACATTTATCAGAAGCTCAACTGTAAAGAAGACATGAATTTGGAATGAGCTTTTTGTCTGTATTACCTTCAGTGCCGTCTGGCTCGGCCTGCTCCTCCCGCTGCTTCTGCTTGAACTTCATGTTCCCATAATGCATCACAGCCCCCGTGAGCTTATAGATGGACACTCTTTCATCAGAGGTGAAGCCCAGGATTTCAATGGCACTCTACCAGGAAAGATGAGAGGACAAAAGGGCAGAAGACGCTAATTTATTTAGGAGAATTTATACCGTATCCTTAACCATGCCTATACAGGGGTGTTATTGTCATTCCCATACATAATGGATTTAAAAAAACCAACTGTATGTGTAACTTACATCTGTGGCCATCAGCTCTTCTTGGTCATCAATGCTAGGGACGGTGATCTCCCCTTGACTGACGAAGGCATAGTCATATGGGTTGGTGGTGATCAGGAGCATTTCTGGGTACACAGAATTCAGGGTATATGTTTTACATTAGAAGTTGTTAATAAAATGATTAACTTCTACCTTATAAATTTAAGCTCCTTCTTACCAATTAGATCTGGCTTCTTGTTAGACATGATCTGATAGAAAATGTGGTAGCTCCTTTCCGCCTTCAGCTGGAAAGTAACTCTAGACTTCTCCAGAAGATCTGCAATGAAAAGAAGACACTGGTCGGGGGGAAAAATTATAAAGTTCCTGAAGTGATTTTGGAATTTGGGATGATTAACTAAAAAATCTCACTGGCCTGTTGAGATTTCAGCTGAATGTTGTGCCTCTACAACATAGGCTACATATTTTCCCTCTACAAACACCATTACGGGTGCTCTTACCACCTCTAGAAAGAAACTAAAGCATGCCTGGCCCAAGACATAGACACTTCTCTTGCAGAAGATCCTTGACATTTGGGATATAATTGATTCTTGAGAACCCCTCCCTCCTCAGGGTCTTTTTTTGCTTTATAACAGAGAGCACTAAGAGCAACATTTATCAAGTCTCAGGCTAGGAAGAAATCACCTATTCTCAACCTGAAGGCAACTCATTTACCCTAGTGGAGTGTTGTCTTAGAGAAAGTTGAAATCCATTCTGAGACTGGAATATCTCAGACAAGCCCCATGGCTTTTGGCGGTTCTTACAGAATCATTAGCTCATGACTGGGATAAAGCACACTGTGGGCTATGCATAAGACTGGCATTAACTATGGGCATGTTTGGCAACAGACTGGTGTTTCACAGGCTCTGGACTCAGCAGGAGCTGCAAAATGTTCCTCCAGACCATCATTTGTCATTCTTGGATTCTGTTTAGGAGGTCCTGTTACTCACATGTTTCAATATCAGCAGAAGCCAGTTTTCCCGTGGTACCGAAGTGGATCCTGATGAATTTACCCTTGCAAGTAGAAATGATGATGTTATATACAAAACTTGAAGCACTCGAGAAAAATGAGATGGAAATGATAATTCAGACGTGCTTTCTCTGGCACGGAAGGGCTGAGAAGATCCCTCTGTGACCAGGAGACTTACAAAGCGAGAGGAGTTGTCATTCCTCACAGTCTTGGCATTGCCAAAGGCCTCCAGTAGGGGATTGGCGCTGATGATTTGATCTTCAAGGGTCCCCTGCAAAGGCAAGAGCGGTCCTCACCTCTGGTGCTCCAGAATTTCTGAGAGCCCCGAGAGTCTTGAGTCTGACCCCAGACCTACCTGTATTTTGCCAGAAGTAATTTCCTCCTTCTTCTTGTCCCCAGTGACTGCAATTGTTGCAAAGTACTGGATGACACGCTTGGTGTTCACAGTCTTCCCTGCACCAGATTCTCCACTGTTAAACAGAGACCAAACATACGTGAGGAATTAAGGTATGTGACAAATGAAAGTACTTCCATCATCAGCATTTACTACCTTATGCGTCCATCTTTATATGTCTTTGTCAGTTTCTCCTAGGTCTTTCTCTTTAGCCTACTATAGCTCATATTACTTCTGTTGTTTTGCACTGACAAGAAGTAGGGAAATTCATTCATTAATCACCTAACACATATTTCTGGAAAATGTGCCAGGCTCTGTTCCAAGTGCTGTGACCTGGACTTGAGAGGTCCAAAAGGCAGCCACCCAGTGACTATATGGGAAATGAAACCGTAAAAAACTCTATGATAAACAATACGTATGTTCTTCAGTTTCCTTAGACTAAAGACATGGCTTAAGTGAAGACTTTGAGGGACTAGACATTTCTCAAGTAGGCCATAAAGTTGGGCCACTGGGAACATTCCCAACAGCTCAACGTTCAGAAGGCTGTATATGTTGTTCACTGCCATGTAACGGGTCCTGGCCTTGCACAGAGAAGGAGTTTATAGCCCATACTCTTAGGAAAGTTCTGGGCAGCTTTTAAGACTGGACTAGTAAATTACAAAGTTTAGGACATTGTTATTTTATATTCTGATGCAGTCTGAACCCTACAACAAAGTACAAACAGTATCCAGTTCCAGGCTGACCAGCATTGCTTCAATATGGGAGCACTAACTAATTTCTTTTAGTTTGTCGTTTTCCCAGTGCAAATAAAATGCTAATACATCCCAGAATAGTAATACATACGTGATTAAGATGGATTGATTCTCCCGATCTAGAAGAAAAACAGCGGACACTCAGCATCATACCAGTTACACAAACAGAACTTTCTATAGGGAAACACCTGGGGCGTTGAGTATAAATACTGTGTCATTTTAAATGGAGTTTTTAAATATATTATTATAAAGTTATATATATTATTCTTAAACCTCTTAAGTTGAAGAGAAACATAAAATGTTGTTATATCTTAAATTCCTTAAGCCCTCACAGTAAGTGTGTCCTGGTTTAGTACTTTCCACAGCCAGACATATTCTCTAGTTGTCAGCTGTGAATTTCAGTAGCATACTCACTGCTAATTCATGCATACAACTAAAAAATGCAAAATATACGAAGGGTTTGGACTGTAGTTTAATAGGTTTAAATAGTGTTCATCAAGCCAAGGTTGAGATTTAGTTTCTAAATGAGTCAACTGGCCTCACAAAGCGGAGAAAAAAAAAAGTATCTTATGGCCACAGCCTGCAACCCTAACTCTGATCAGTCCTGCCAAAAGTATGCCATCAGGTGAGGGAACTGCCTCAATCAGAACAAAAATCCTTTTAAGGGAGGAGAAAACAACAACTTTTGTTTCTGTGCATGTAGTCCCCAAATACCATTTTCATTCAAAGAGAGGCTTTCTTCTCTGAGATGGTCTCTGATGATTTTAAAGGTAACAGTACTTCTAAAAGCATCAAATTTGTAGTCAACAAGACACTTAAGCACAAAAGGATTGAATGTTTTTTTTTAATTTCCACTCAGTGTGATTCTGCTGTTACTTAATCTTAACTATTGTTACTTAAATCTATACCATAAATTATATATTTCCAAGGAGGAGACTGCAAGCAAGTTAAGTTTAAAGGGATAGCAGAGAGCCGAGGCTTGTCCTGGTAAAATCACGGAGGTGGGGTCTGGAGAGCTAGGTTTTAGTTCCAGCTTTGACGGCATGTCCCTCTGTGCTTCAGTTACCTCTTCTGGAGCTTGGATTAGATTATGTCCAAAGATCTGTTTAGCTTTAACACTTTGTGACTCTAGGTGGTCAAGTAATTTGTATGAGAAACACTTGAGCCACTCACCCGTCAGCATGAACTGATAGGCGTTGTCGGAGATGGAGAAGATGTGGGGCGGGGCTTCCTGGCGCTTCTTGCCTCGGTAGGCTGTCACCACCTCTGCATTGTACACTGGCAGCCATTTGTAGGGGTTGACTGTGACGCAGAAGAGGCCTGAGTAGGTCTACACCAAAAAGAAAAAGAAAAGAAATATAATCATCTCATGGGGACCTTAGTAATCTACTGTTTTTCAAAACTATTAATTAGCTGCATGAGCAGAAGGCCATGAGAATGAACTCACGTAGATCATCCAGGCCGCATAACGCTCTTTGAGGTTGTACAGAACAGCGGGCTCGTGCAGGTGGGTCATCATGGCCATGTCCTCGATCTTGTCATACTTGGGAGGGTTCATGGGGAAGACTTGATCATCTTTCACTGTCAGAGTCTGGTAAACAGGGAACATAACGGTTCATGTCAATTGAGAGATGGAACACAAGAATTGATAAAATGTGGCCGGCTCCAGGGACTGTACTTACCGCTCCAGCTTCGGTCTTCACCGTCACTTTCCCTCCTTCTCTGCTCTGGATGGTCCCTTTCACAAAGGATTCTTTGGGCTCCGCCACAAAGACAGATGTCTTGGCATCAAAGGGCCTATTCTGGGCCTCAATGCGCTCCTTTTCAGACTTTCGGAGGTACGGAGCTGCCTCCCCAAAAATGGCCATTTCCTGGTCTGAACTCATGGCTGCTGAACTCAGCCCAGTCGAAGACCCTGCCTGGAAGGGAAAGAAAAGATATTCTAGGAATTCAGATATTCTATGTCACATTTAGAAAAAGAAAACATTTTTGAGTCACTGAGCAGTTGAGCGCTTAGCCTTGTGTTGGGTACGACCACCTACCTCCCTGGCTTGGCTGGAGATGAAATGTCAGTGTTGGTGTTCTGTGCCAATGCTGACAGGTACTTAATCGAGCATTTGCAGAGACTGTAGTTTCTGACTCACCTGCTATAGGATATTGTAGCTACTTTCTCGATTTTATTTGGTATATATGTTAATTTCTATATGTGGCCTGTGATTGGCTTATACAGAACACAAGCTAAGATGGTGGCAGGGTGTCCCCTAGCTCTTTCATGGAGAGCTCTTATCTTCCAATTGGATTATAAGCACCTTGCAGGCAGGGAACACTTTTCTTTCAAGGCATCCTTCATACCTCTCAGGACACATGCTGGATACAAGGAAGGGCTCAAAGCCGGCTTTGTGAATTAAAAGTATAAAGATTTATGTTGTGAAAATTCCAGGAACTATTTTTGTACATAGTGAAAATCTTTTCATTATAGATTTGGATTCATTATAGATTTACAAAGGCTACCTGGTAAAGGAAAGCAGAAATGTAGGGAGATTTGCTTTACATTGTTTTGTTAAAAAATTATTCTATTTTACATTAGTTTCTCTTGTTTCCATAATTTTGAGAATTTGGCTTTTTTACTTGTCTTTAGTATTTCTCAAAGACTTATTATAAAATATTATTATCTGTTTTCTTGCTTTATTACTGAGATTCTCATAAAAATTTCACAGAACTTTCTTTTCAAGATCCATCCATCTCTTGCCACTTTAATATTCATTAACCCTGTCAATAATGATCAGAGGTAATTTGTTTTATAATAATAGAGATATTTTCTTCCAGAAAAACTCAAAGCACTTGTGTAAACTTTACTACATATTCCCAAACTGCAGTGATTTGGATAATACAAAATACTTGTCTTGCTGAAAATGCTCACAATCATTTTTCATAGCACTTAAAAATGTTTTTCCATTTTATACACTGTGAAACAACATGTGGATTTAAGCTTCTTTTCCAAGGCAAGGACTCCGTTCATTCAGACAGCATTTCAGGGTTTGTGTTTTTTTGTTTTGTTTTGTTTTGTTTTTTTTACAGTATATGGTGCTGAGGAAAACCCGTAATATAGGAAATTTACATTTTCTCGATAAATGAATAATAACAACAAAATGTACTGCATGTTGTAGTTATTTAAAAGACAGACTGCAGTGCTGGAAATAGAAAAAAAATTGTGTATAAAACTCCTCAAAACTCTAAGAAAGCATTTAAAGGTATTGCAGAGGATATAAATTAATGAGAACGAGTTCCTAAAGCCCCTCTCAGAATTTTTCAAGGGAAGCATGATCAGCCATGAAATGAAAATGCTTTCATTTTATAACCCCCTGGGCACCCTCCAACCACTGTGGAAGATTTCTTGCACCCGGTGAAGAATGAGAAAAAAAAAAATATCTTACCTTAGAAATACAACTTGGAAGTGGGTCAGAACTGTAAGAAAAAGAGCGAATTTCTTCTGGTTAGACTCTAACCATTCCTAATAATAGCGTAATTCTTAAGTGAGAATCAGTAAATGACTGGGAACACTAAAACAGCTAATTCAAATTGCTACAGAGTAAGTTGGTGCCTCACTGGAAGAACTGCCAGGGGCAGTGGGAGCCAGGATGCGTGGCATGCATGCAGGCTGCCAGATATCGCTACCGTCTTCAGACAGAGCCCCTCCTCACACACACTTACCTTAAAGCTTTATGAGGAAAGACAAGTCATACCCATTCCAAGGGTACTTTTATAGGGTCAGATATGGAAAACACGTAGCCTCCTCCTCTTTCTTAAAACATATTTGGCAAAACATGTTTTTGGCAATGAAGGCCTCCAAGCATAATTCCCCTCATATTAAAGATGTTTGGATATAATTAGAAGTATTTCCTCTCACATTTGGTTAAGTATATGAATCAATCTCCTATAAATAATTCGAGAGGTTGGCCATGTGAAAGCGATCTGGCTTCGGAATAATGTAAGGTGTTGTTTCAAAGTTCCGCAGTCCCTGCACTTTTGTTGCTGCTGCCGTGCAGTTTCGTGGAGTCGCCTGCCTGCATGTGAAACCTTTGCAACTGCCCTCACAATTGCACATACTAGACTGGGAAGGGAACTTGCTGCTCTTTACCAGGATGTCAGAAAAAGATTGTCCGTTCCTCCCCAGAAGGCACGAAGTATTTTTGTTTTGTTTTGTTTCGGCTTTGTCGAGGGTGCTTGGAAATATGATTTTAAAAACTTGCTTCCTAACTAGCAGCCACACACAGTTGCTTTTGTTGACTCTGGTCAACTGCCCCTGATTCATTGTCAGATCAGACCACTCCCACCTCAGGCATGCTCCCCACTGCTTTGCGTTGCCAAGCTGAGATGTCCTGCTTCTCTCGCTTTGAAAAAATGCAAATTGCTTGTGAAATCCTGTTTCCTCTGTGAAACTCGGCATAGGAAAATATTAGAAAACAGGGCATTTCTCTGTCTAAATATGCAGCATCTAGGGCTTCTCCATCAGCTGCCCAAGGTATACATTTCACATTTTGCTTACAAACGATACCTGAACATTGTTTTCTACTCTCATGTTTAATTTTTTAAAAAATGATTTTATTGTCTTTTGTCTTATGTCTCTTTATGTCAGCCTTGTCCGTCTGGGACGGAGACCAAATTTGCTTCATATCCCCCGTTTTGCAACAGTTCCTGTATTATTATACATACATTTCAATCGATTTAATGAAACAGATTGCCTTAGGAAAGCAGCTATCTGGAGATACTGGTTGTAATGGTCATGTGATATATTACTGACGGGAAGGGACCATCTAACCCATATTCCTCATTTGACTAAGAAAACAGCTGAGATCCAAAGAATAGAAGAGAGTGACCACAAATCACATAGCAGCCTAGACCCCGGGGCACCTGATTGGCATGGCAGCCCAGTGTGCTTGCTGCTACCAATCTTCTACCTGGAGTAGATTAAAGCCATCAGGAAGGGTCTTCCAGGAGTCATGCGTCTGATGGGAGCCTTCCTAGCCAACCCTCAACCCGCTTTGTGATGACAGGTATAGCATTTTTACTTCCTTACATATCCGTGTCGTCTTTTTTTTTCCCCCACATACATTTTTTTTTTTTTTTAGCAGGCATGTGAAAAATGTGGGCAGTGCTTCTCAGGAAGAGAGGACATTTTCATAATGTTCTCAGTAGGATTTGATAGGAATTTTAAGACCTCCTTTTGACCCGTGCTGGATAGGTTTTGCAGTAAGCTTGTTACAAGACATTGTTTTTTGCTTATTACTGCCAAATTATAAGGCACTTCAGCATTTATAGGTGATGTGGAACAAAGTGAAAGATGGGCCAAAGCAGGAAGAAGGGCGATCCCACACCCTTCCTTGGGCCAGTGGGACAATGGGAATCCTAATTACCTGCTAAGCTGCTTCCACGTGTCTTATTCTCCCATGGTGCAATTTAAACCCATATACTCTTGCTTTCCATTCATATGGATAGTTACCACTTAGCTATTCCTTTATGCTGTCCAGGAAGGTTATACTTTGGGCTCTGTGTCTCAACGGAATCCAGTTTAAAAAATCTTGATCATCTAGGAAAACTTCTCTGAGTAATTCAGATGGCTACTACTTCTGGGTTTTGCACCAAAGTCATGCCGCCGATGGTTATGTGTGTTGAATTTACACCCAAATTGTCTATTTTAGGACTCATATTTTATGGACACTTCTGATAATTTTTTTTGGCCCTTCACATGATTATAAAGGCAGCCAGCAGGTCTAGAAACATAGGCTAATAAATAACTTATTGATATTACATTATAATATATAAAATAATATTCTCTTGGCCCCAGACTTGAGAGCCACCTTGTAGCTTTCATAGGGAGAAGGGTCACATCTCACTCATGTCATACCCGTTACCTGGTGTGCGTTCTCTGAATATACAGTATATGGATATTCATGATGAAAGTCTTTATGGGCTATTAATAATACTTCGGATTTGTATTCTTGATGACATCAAGGAGAAGTAATGATATAGTGTAATCTGAATCCCCTATTTGAGAATACAGCCAGTGCCATTCTTTGCATAGACCTGGAAAATTAGGTTCATGTCGGGGGGATCAGGAGCTTTCTAGGATCCTATTATGTCCTGGTATTAAGGAGAGGTTAGAAAGAAATAAAATGTGTCTTCCAGATTTCTTCCAGAACAGACTTCCCTGATAGGCAACAGTTTTATAGTCTTAAAGTATTCCTGTAGACTTAAAATAAAAGTGAGTACTACTTCTTAGTGGCAGGTTGAGTGCAATTGTTTGATAGCTTTATGCTTATTCTAGCTTTGTCACTGCTTTAAGAAAGACCAGTCTAAGGATGTTGTTTGCAAAATACCCTATGCTCTTTATTTCCTTTGCAATAGGGTAGAATGGACAATAATTACAGAGGGAAATGACCAAAGGCTTCACATTTTGTGCCTCTCTTCAGTCATTCCATAGCATCCGGACATGCTCACTCTTCACTTATGACTTTTGTGTGAACCTCTCGGCTCTTCACCCGCAGCTTGTTGACCTGGGACTCAGCAATGTCAGCCCGTTCCTCGGCCTCCTCCAGCTCGTGCTGGAGCTTGCGGAATTTGGATAGATTTGTGTTGGATTGTTCCTCCTGAGAATAAAAAGGGAATTGTAAGGAACCCATACTGTGCATCTTTCTAGGCTCTGTTGGCTTAAGGGAAGAAAGGACTTGGTATCTGTGGAGAACTTAGAATACCCAGCTGGGAACATGGTTGTCTTATCACCTCCTGGATTTTGGTTATCATTGAAGTGAACATTATGATTTATTTGGGGCTTGGTGTCCCACAAATAATTGCATACCTGTTTTTTCAACAAAAACCTATTAAGTAAAGCAAGAAAAAAATGTAATAGCAGAGATGGGAAGAGTACAAGGCGCCTGGATGACTCATTTGGTTAAATGTCTGCCTTCTGCTCAGGTCATGATCCCAGGCAAGTCCCACATTGGGCTCCCTGCTCAGTGGGGAGTCTGCTTCTCCCTCTACCCATCCCCGCTGCTTGTGATCGCTCTCACTCTCTCAAATAGATAAAAAGAAATTTTTTTAAAAAGGCAAGAGTACTCTTGAAATCTTCCTTCTTGTTAATGTTTGCTAGAAGATGACAGTGGGCTTAAATAGATATTCTATATCATATTAAGGGTGAATTTCTTAAAGGTCTCTTTAAATTGAAATAAATGTTGAATTTTATATATCATTTTGGAACATTTCAAAATAATCATTTTTCTCCTGTTTTGGATGTAATGATTCTACTGACAAATTCCCTAATATTAAGTAATCCTTACATTGAAGGAATTAACCTGCTTAATCACTGATGGACAATCCCCTTAATAAAGGGTTTCAGCGACTTAGTTATTTATCTTTGCTGGAATTACACTCATGAGTAAAACTGCCTTTAGTTCCATCCTCCCCGCCCCCCCCCCCATTCTCTCTTGGACACGTTTTGGTATGAGGGTTACATGAGCTTCTTAAAATGATTTGGAAAGCTTTCCATCTTTTCCCATGCTCTGGAATGGCTTACATAGCTCAGGGATTATCTGTTACTTGAAATTTTGAAAGACCTGTCTGGACCCGAGTCCTTTTTCAGAAGTGATTCTCAAATAAGTTGTTTAGCCAACTTAGTAATTTATGACCCTCTATAAAAAAAATCATCAATCTCAAAGATTTCAACTTTGTTGACAGATTTATATTTTACATTAAAAGATAATTTCCCTGCTTGTATGGTTTGTCCCCTTTCTCCCTTCCTTCCCTTTCTTTCCTTTCCCTTCCCTTCCTTTCCTTTCCTTCCTTCCTTTCCTGATCTCTGTGCCCAATGTGGGGCTTGAACTCATGACCCTGAGCTCAAGAGTCGCATCCTTGGGGCCCCTGGGTGCCCTAGTCGGTTAAGTGTTTGACTCTTGGTTTTTGGCTCAGGTCATGATCTCAGGGTCATGGGATTGGGCTCCCACACTCAGCACGGAGTCTGCTGGAGATTCTTTCCCTCTCCCTCTCCCTCCGCCTCTGCTCCTTCCCCTGCTCATGCTCTCACTCTCTTTTACAAATAAATAAAATCTTAAAAAAAAAAAAAAGTCGCATGCTCTTCTGACTGAGCCCGCCCGGCGGCCCCCCTTTCTCATTTCTAATGTGAGTTTGTATTTTCTTTCTCTTTTTCCTTGATTAAATTAGTTATAAGTGTTTTTATTTTATTAACTCCCCAGAAGTTATCAGATATTACTTAAAATTATCATAGTAGAAAATATTATACCTTAATTTATCAATTTCTACCTTTATCTTTAACAGTACTTCCTTCATTATTATTTTTAATTTCTTTATTGGACTGTCAATTTTTTAAAAATTTTGATTCATAAAGCAATGACTTGTCCTCCAAGGACAGCTTTGACTACACTCTTTAGGTTTGTAAAAGTAGCATCTTCCTTGAAATTTTGCTTATAATTAATAATTATTCAGGAGTTTTTTTCTTTCCAATGTAACCCAAGAATTATTTAGGAAAGTTAGTTTTTTAACATTTAAGCATTTGGGAATTTGTGTTTATATTTCTAACCACTTTATAATTTTATCACACTATGGCTAGAGAATGTGGCCTTCATTATTTCTGCTTTGAAATTTTTTGAGGTTTCTTTGTGGATTAAAAATTTACTTTTAAAATCAAGCTATTAATATTACAAATAATAAGCAATAAGTACAAAAATACGCAAATGTTTTTAAGAAGTACAGTCTTCTAAGAAGCAAATGGCTTATTTACTACAAGGAGGGCTAAGTCTAATTATTTGTTCATTAGCTTTTCTTAACAAGGGACTTCTCTCTTCCCTTCCATCTTAAGGATACTTACAGCCTCCTCAGCTTGTCTCTTGTAAGATTTCACTTTGGCCTGAAGTTTATCTACCAAATCCTGAAGTCTGAGAATATTTTTCCGATCTTCCTCTGTCTGAAAGATAATGAAAACCACAGGGCCTTACTTCAAAAGCACTTGACTGTTGTTTCATTTATATGAGTGTTTCACGTATGTATGGGGAGCACTTGGCTGATAAAAACCATTGCTGTACCTGGTAAGTGAGTTCCTTCACTCTTCTCTCGTGTTTGCGCAGACCTTTCACAGCTTCCGCATTACGCTTTTGCTCACTTTCAACCTCTCCTTCCAGCTCACGCACCTGCAGATAAGTAGGCTCTTAAGAACTTTGAACTAATAAGACACTGGGAGGAAATGGAAGTAGACAGAGATTGAGAGACCCACCCTGGCCTCCAGCTTCTGGATCTGCTTCTTCCCACCCTTCAGGGCCAGCTGCTCAGCCTCGTCCAGACGGTGCTGCAGGTCCTTCACTGTCTGATCCAGGTTCTTCTTCATGCGCTCCAGGTGGGCGCTGGTGTCCTGCTCCTTCTTCAGCTCCTCGGCCATCATGGCTGCCTGATGAGCAGTAAAACAAAACCAGTTGAGAGAGCTGAGCTAGCGCATCCGGATTCAAGTTTGACCAGGACCGTGTTGCCCTCTGCTCACATCAGTGATGGCCTTCTTGGCCTTCTCCTCTGCGTTGCGGGCTTCCTGGACAATTTCCTCCATCTCTCCCTGGATCTGGGAAATGTCTGTCTCCAGCTTCTTCTTGGTGTTGATCAGGCTGGTATTCTGTTTAAAAATAAGTTACAATTTTTTTTATCGTGTTACCAAAGTACTTATTGCTAGCTATTTTTAAAAATAATTTCAGATAAAAATTTACAAGTCAGCTGCCCTTCAATATTAGTTTGTTATATAGTACATATATAGTACTATATAGTATATAGTAAATAAAATAAAAATGTTATAGAATATTCAGCATCTTCCAAGTACATAGTCCATAATTAGACCAAATAGCTGTATAATTTTGTAACTGCCATTTACCAGTGAGACCATTCATAGGGACAAAATTATAACAGATGTTCAAATATTCCATTTCTCCAAAATAAAGATGCTAATATTGATAACAAGGGTCAATAAAGATACAAACACAGGAGAATATGGGCAGCTTTAGAATATTTTAGGAAGTGAATCAATAATTTTTGTAAAATAAAAAAGATCTCTCAGTATACAGTGAAAACTTGGTAGAAGTATAAAACCTGGCTGTTATATAAAACACTTGAGCTTGCATTGTTTGGAACACATAAGCATTTATTGAAGGTAAGTTCTTTGTGCCAAACCCCACCTGGGTGTGCAGGAGCTGGACCCTCTCACTGGCGTCCAGGAGCTCCTGTTCTGCGATTTTCCTGCTCCTCTCCGTCTGCTCCAGAGTGGCCCGCAGCTCCTCGATCTCAGCCTGCAGCAGGTTGGCTCTGCGCTCCACCATGGCCAGCTGCTCCTTCAGGTCCTCCTGGCCACGGAGAGCGTCGTCCAGGTGGATCTGGGTGTCCTGTGGAATGAACGGTCATTGAGACACCTTGTTCTCAGGGCTGCAGTCACCCCAGCTACTTTGGGGCCGCCTTTTGAACCCACTTACTTTGAGGATGCCTTGGGTGTTCCTGTAGTTCCTCAGGGCCTCTGCGGCCATGCGGTTGGCATGGTTCAGCTGGATTTCCATCTCATTGAGGTCTCCCTCCATCTTCTTCTTGAGCCTGATGGCATCATTCCTGCTCCGGATCTCAGCATCCAGCATGGTCTGCATCGACTCCACGACCCTGATGTGGTTTCTCTTCAGCTGGTCAAGTTCCTCATCCTTCTCAGCAATTTTCCTGTCGACCTCAGACTTGACCTGGTTCAACTCCAGCTGGATGCGCAGGATCTTTCCCTCTTCATGTTCAAGAGATGCCTTTAATGACAGCAAGGGGTGACATTAG